CCTGATGATGACAAAACTTTGTCAAAACATTGTACATTTACTGTTATGTTAAACTTATATCAAAGTTTTTCTTCATTACCCATTCAAGCCATCTCCAAGCATTATTAGTCTCAATGTGGGTTCCTCATCGTCGAATTTGAACACATCTAGTATTTTAGATAAGGAAAAATATATGTATTACAGAATTGTTAAATAGGAATGCATAATAATCACTGTAGAGGCATATCCACTGACTGATCTATCATTTGATAGACAGCAAATAAAAGGTATAATCATATGAACTCACTCTAAGAAAAACTTTTTTTTGCCAAAGATTTAAGTCCTATTAAGTTTAAACTCGTAAGTCATAATTTTGTTATACAAGATATACTTAAGTTTTGATTGGCAGTTATTAATTTCTTTATACATGTACTTTAGATTTATAAACAGTGTATATATATTTGTACATCTTATTAGTAATTTTGAACTAAACTTTGTACATACAACAAATATATTTTAGAAACTGTTATACCAAGCATCTTAGAAACGATACTGGGTATTATTTTTTTGCAAAATAATCCAAGGATTACAACTAAGAAAATGTAGCTGGAATATGTTAATTTTAATTCACTTACTTTTTAAAAAATTAGTTTACTTTATATGTAATGGTTTAATTATTCACAGTTTAACATCTGATTCCCAAAACTTTTTTTTTATCTTTAGCTTCCAGCCTCTGTGTCTAAGTACTTCACTTTAAAAACCTTAAAGAAGACAGCTTATTTAGCTGCTGAAGAGTTTTTTAATAGTCCACATGAGGGACAGACAGATGATGAGAATCAGGAAGACTGGGGTTAGTCTGCAAAATATTTTTGAAGTGTATTGATCTTTTTGTTTTAAGTATTTCAATAAATTAGGCCATGTGTGGCCTGGTGTTTTTAGTACCAGACTGTGAATATATGGATTCATGGTTCACATGCTGTTGCCGTGACAGTATGCTGACTTTGTTTGTTGACTTTGGTTTATTGAACAATATACTGCATCCATTAAGAAAAGCAGAGTGAAACCACTCAACTTTAAATGGACAAATATTTAAGTATAACACTACTTTTTGTAAAGATAATAACAATTATGTGCAAATTTAATGATTTCTAACAATATCCAAACATATATTCTGTCTTGTTATTCTCGTATTTTATTTTATTCAGGAAATTGTACATACATTTTGTACATATAGTATTAACAAGTACATTTGTGCAAAAACATTTATCTACAGCTAAAAACTGAAATATCATTTTTTATATGTATAACAGATTTTAAAATGAAACTAAATATATGAGCAGAACTTTATAATGATGTTTAAGTTTTTTTCTTAGATGGTGTTTCATCAACCACAGAATTAGAAGAACGAGCAGTTGTATTAAGTTTACAGAAGAACTTTTCATCTCTTCTCTCCCTACAAGAAAAAGTTTGGTTTATGGACATAGTTCAACAGTTATTTCCATATTTTCTAATTGGTGAATTGGACACTGAGATCTTTTCTGATTGGTTACTGAAGCAAGAAGTAGAATTATGTCTTGTAGAAATGGGAATTAATCCTTCTGAGGAGCTATTAAGTAAGGTGAGTAATTCTAAGTTGCAGAAGACAATTAGTATACTAGATTTGAGCATATAGAATTAATATTAGACATCAGCTGTAGTTTAAGTGTAGCATAATTACCTCATTATAACAGTGAAGTAATTACTGATCATGTATACTATTTCCTCTGAATGTCTCTTAACAAAAAAAAAAGACTTTCTGGCTGTTTTTTTCTTTTCAATTCTAAGTAATGTTTACATGAAAGACTTCAAGAACAATGTCTTACAATTTGCTTTGATAAAAATATAGATATAAAATATATCCCTAATGATATAATTGTTATCTGGTGCCACCAAGAAGTTAGACTAGGTAGCTTCTTTCCACATTTCAATGCCTTTGGCCAGGTAATGTAGTTCATAATACAATTTGGAAAATAAAGCCAAAGTCCCATCTTTTCTGTCTAAATCCACCAATTGACTGCTTCTATTTGCAGAAATCCAACACTCTACTAGGTTATGCTTCATACCTAACTACTTCTATACATGGAATTATTAGTTGCATCTACAACTGTACCACCACATTCTTGTGTTAAAATGTAAGTCAGAAAAGAAGAAAGACACATAACAAAGGGCTTTCAAGTCTAGATTAGCCATGCAGTTTTATTTGATCATTTTTGACAAAGAATACCACACAAAGAAAACTGCTAATTTGAATAAGTCCTTGCCCATTTTGCTTACTTATTCACTATCAAATTTAGGGGTTTTTCTATTACAACAGTTTCTTGTAAATCATTCGTATTTCATTTTACTTTCTGTAATTCACACATGTGGAACCTATTTTAATGACAAAAAAGTACATTAGTGCAACCAACTTTCTCAAGCATGATATGTGTATGTATCTCCCTGCACAATGTGAATCTTCTGCTTTAGCTTGTGGCAGATTTAAGCTTTACAAAATTACTAAATGCTTGTTGCATTAGATGTGTCATCAGTACATGTTTTACATTTTCACGATATTGCTATTATCCTTCAAATTGGTTTCTAATCCTTCTATGTTTCTTTATGAACCCATGCAGACTTCCATTTTGTTACTTCAATATTTGAGACTTCTACAGCTTGTTTTTGTTGTTGTTTTTCTTTCAAGTTTTGCTGCTGTTGTTTTTTTTTGTTTCATGTATTAAGTTTCTAGTCATTACGTGATTATTTCAATTTTTGTGCCATGTGTGCAGGATTCTAACCTGGGACCATTCACCCTACAAGTGAGTAGTTATCAATTGAGCTGAAGGATTAACCAACAAGCAACTGCTAGTGAAACAATTTTAAACAACTTCAACTACCACATTCTTCTTCCCTTATAAGCAAGGCCTGAGTTTAGGCTTTATCAACCACTATTTATGTAATAGATTTTATTGTGGTAATTTAAATTTTTGCATATCAGGACTATTTGCACTACCAATGAGTGCTCTACCAACCCGGCTAAAAGGGTTAATCCACTAGCAATTGATAGTAAAACACTTTTTAGCAACTCAAATTATCTCAGGTGTTTCTTTCTAGTTATTCTCAATAGTTTTTAATTCAGACTAGTTTTCCAATACTTTTTTTTATCTTTAATAAGTGTGTCTTTCCACTTCTTAATTTTGGGTTTTTAATGTAGTTTTTCAATACAACAGTTTTTTTATCTTTAATAATCTTCATCAAATTTGGAAGTATTGGTTTGCCATTTCCTAAGTCTCTACACTTTCATAAACTTAATGATACTACCATTTATAATTAAGTCTAATTTGAATAACTTTTGTAAACAGTGTGCTTAGAAATTATCATTTTGTGGTTTCTAAGACTATTGGGAGATGAAAAAATGTATAACTAACTTTTAATTATTTTTCTGCACTTTTTTATATGTGAAAGTGAATTAACACCAGTAAACACATCATTGGTATAATTATGTTTTATTAAAATATATGTTTATGAAATACATGTTACTCTACAATCCCACAAGTACAATAAATCATGCTGTGACATTTTATTCACCTAAGTGGACAAACTCCTTACTGTTTGGAGAAAATATATATATATATTTTTTTTAGTTTTTTCTTCATTAAAGCTGCATTTTAAGCAAGAATTAAGTAACTTGAAGAAAAATTAGATTTAGAAATGTTGGTATGTCATGGCTGAATGTTGCTATTGTAAAATAAAATTTTAATTATTTTAAATACAGTACCAATTAAAGTACTGAAAAAACTTCAAGTTTGTTAGTATTGGTTTGTTGCATATTATTAAAATAAACTATTAGAGACAGAAAATGTTAAATGTAGTTTAACTTTGAAAACGTGGACTTTGAATATTCATCAGGAAGGTTTGTGATATTATTATTAACTGTACTGTACAGAAGAAATAAAAGTTGTATCTTGAAAATCTTTCAGAAAATCTTTAATATTATGTTATGTCATCTCTAATTCATTATTTTTATTCAGATGACTTAATTAGGTTATCATTACCCAGCATAACTGTTGCTCCCTGGATTTTCTATGACATTACATTTCTTTTTAAGGTCCTTGATGTTTTTTCTGGAATCCTGTCAAAAGGCTCTGTTGCATTGGTTGGACCATCTGGTAGTGGAAAAACAATAAGTTATAGATCACTCATCATGGCCTTAAATCACCTCAGTGGCTGTATGTCTGATCAAGAAACGAACAGTTCATACCCTTGTGTATGTGTGAGACATCTATTCCCTGATGCTGTAACACAAACTGCTGTGAGTAAGAGTGTGATCATGTTTTTCTTATACTGTGGGCTAGGATGATATGTAGCAATACTGCTGCCATTAAATGATGTATACTTTCATAGGGCATTATTATCCCCACTGAATATTGATATTTTCTTCATCAAGATATGCGAAAAACACTTGTATTCAAATATTTATTTTTTGGTTTCCTAGTGATGCTAAATGGACTTTAGTTTTTACAAATGTTAAACTACATAAGTAATATGCTTGTGTTTGTCTGCTTGTCTGTCCAGAACTTTTCTCACAAATTGTTTGATCAAACGATACAACTCTCATATCATTAGAAAGGCCTTTGTCCAAGGAGTCTGGATTGCACATTGGTTTTTCAATTTACCTGTTCTTTGCTTAGTCAAGCTTTTAAAATTCTTAAGTTAATTACTGTTAGTAGTTATCCATATTTGTATGTTGTTACATAGATTCCTAAATTAATAGTATTAGTGATTAACAATATTTCCTAGTGTTGCTACAATAAATTAATTACTCATTATGTAGTAGTTATCAGTATTTCATGGTACAGTTACAAATAATTCTTGTGTTAGTAGTTATCGACATTTGTTGGTATTTATTACATGAGTCTAAAAGTCACCAGAGTCAGTCATTTTGCTTCCATGGATTTGTAACACAGACTGTTGTAAATTTATGAACAATTTTTAGTACTTAGTATTCCTGCCTAAAGCAATTACGTAAAGTTTTGTATGTATTAGTATTAGTAGTTATTGTTCCATAGTGTTGTAACATAGGATATTTGTTCTATTTCATCTTGCTATTTTATCAGTGTTAATACTTTAACTTTTTTCTGATTTTGTTCATTAAAAATTTTTAAGTACTAGTGCTGGAACTGTATTTTTTAGGATATAGTGATTTCTGATTATTTTATATTTTTTATGCTATTTGGCTTACTTTAATTTGCTTCGAGATTTTATATTTGGTTTTACTATGAAATTTTCAAATTTTTATTGGTGGTAACAAGACCTTTTCTTTGATTTGGATTGCTGTGTATGTATTTTCTTGTTATTCTTTTGAAAATGTTAATAACTTTTACTGAAACTCTTACAAAATGAGTTTATTTCTTTGTTTTTTGAAATAAGGCCAGTTTCTTCATCTCATAACAAACTGTCAAATAATTAAACTGATGCTATATGCTTCATAAAATTTTTATTCTTACCTAATTATCTGGAATAAAAGAATAAATTGAAACTGTAGATATTTCACTTGCATTTCACATGTTTTAATTTTTCTTTTTTAATTGTTGATATTCTTCAATATGCTTGACTTTTTCTGAATCAAAGAAGCCCAAAGAAGATAACATTAGAGAAAGCAAGGCAGGATTTCTAAGTGTTGCTCTAAGTCATTACAGCCAAAGTATCGAGTCAAATGAAACTTGTAATCAGACATCAACCCATCGGCCTCAAACCTGGTTAATAGTTGATAGTATTGTTGATCCCTACTTGTGGGAATTGGGACTACATGGAGGGCTTGGTTGGGAGCATATTCTGAACAGTGATGGGAAGATGAAACATTCAACAGGTAGTAACTGTTTAAAAACTTAGTTTTCAGCACATTTGAATTTTAAAAAGTCAAGGTTTTACTTGAATTATTTTACGTGTTTTTACCAATCTATCTTCATTTGCTATCATAACAAACATGGTACAACAAAGACTAGTAACAAATGTTTATTGAACTTACAATACTATGAAAGCTTAAAATATAATATTTAAAAAAATGAGTCTTCATTATTTATTATAATGTTAATGGTTGAGTATTACATATACATTTGTTTTATTCTTAAGGTATAACAAAAATTTTCTGTTTTCAGTTTTGTTTTGTCATTTGCATTCAATATATTTATAATATAGCTTTATGTTTGTCTGAAGACTGATAACTACAGATTCCTATGAGGCTACACTTTACATTTTGAAAAAGAGCTGTAAAATATATTGAAAAAGCTATTCCTTTATGATAAATTAATTTTTAAGAAGTTTTTATGCAGTGATGTTGATACAGGAACATTATCTGTGAACAGCATGTGCCTTATCATTTTTGAATGAGTGTTGTTCCAAAAGATGTCTTTCTGAGCCTAATCCCATTGAAACATGGTCTTTACTACCTGACAAAAAGGGTCTGCTCTAAATGTCACACAAAATATATTTGAAAAAGTTTTTATTTAGGTGTGTTAATTTATTGTTTATTATCATTTATCCAAATCATAATTTTTGACATTGCTTCAGACTTATCTATTCCAATAATTGTCATGACAGGGTTAAGTCATTTACCCATATTTGATGTATTAAAATATATACAAGAATATTATCATCGCTCTGATAATACTGATAAATTCAGAAACATTATTTATATATAGTATATATTTAATGGTTTTTTAAATTAGCAGTATTTCAGAATACATGCTGAGGACTTCCAGTAAGACAAAAAAGAAAGCTTTTGACTGGTTAAAATCTTTAATCTATATATATTCTATTTCAATATTATACTCTTTAATTTCACTTTTGAAAATTATTTTGCATTTTTAGCTTATTATATGGACTTAAGCTTAGCTAAACTAAATTTCATAAGCTGGACAATTGCAGCCAAAAATATCAATAACAGCAAAAGTATCCACCTGGTAAATCAATGTATTCTAATAATTTAAGTTCTTGTTTTATAACAATTCATACTCCTAACTGGACTAACAGTTACACAATTGATTAAATTCAGCAACCAATTAAAAAAAAAATATGCCAAGTTGTCCCAACAGTGATCAATCAAGAAAATAAATGTTCTTTGTATTTTGTTCTCAATATTACTTCCTTGCAAATTAGATTAATTCAATAGTCCTCGTAAAAGACTATTTTTAGAAACATGAATCTAAGATGATATGAAACAAATTAATAATTTTTATGTATCTAGTAATTTAAGTTATATTCCATTATTTCTGTAAAGTTAATTAACAATACTCATACAAGTAGATTATCCATTTTGTTTATCCCCAAATTATTTAATTATTTATTTACTGTTCAGTACTGGTGGGGCTACATATTACACAATACTGATTAAAAAAAACTAACCAAAAAATTTAATGAATTCACTCATTATTTTGTATAAAGTACATAGGAATCCCCAGAAGTAATAAGTGAGATTAGTTTCAATACTAAAAGTATCTCAACTATTTAATATTGATACAATACATACCTCCTCTCACATGTAAAGCTTCTCTTGATCTTGGATTGCACTCTAATGCATTAAAAATCTTAATTCTCGCCTAATGTATTAGCTTTTTCATACTGCTCAGTTCCCACTTCTCATTTAACATGCATAGCGCATGCGACAACCCTCCACCAATAGGAGCACGACATACACTCCCTGAGCAGCTGACTCCCTCTGTATTACATTCTGTGCACCTCACATTCTTGATTGACACACTATTATTTAGATGTGTTTTTCGCTTGCTCTTAATTTCTTGTGTGGAAATTTATTGCTTTGTTTACGCATTTTATATATTTTTTCTTGATTTATTTTCATTTTGTTTCCTTAAATTTAGAGTTTCTTACATATTTTTCTCCCCTTTTTTTGCTGCGTCAGCTCCTACTTTGACTGGAGACACATTTAACCCTATTACTCAAGCCACAGGATTGGCATTATTAGCTGTGGAAGTGCAGGCTTTGGTTTGACTGGAGTTAGCTTCCTACATGGGACCTGGTTTGTCCTCTTTTCCACATGAGGCAGTGTAAACTGATGATGAGGGGCATGAGGAGGAGGAGGAATTTGACCAAGTTTTTTATGCTCCTTTGTTTGGTATGCCTTATCTTCAGGCAACAATGGAGAATGTTCGATCGTTTGTTATGTCCAGTGAGTGTCTTGAAAGTTTTGTTGCCCACACTAATGCCTTTAGAGATGCTAGACAATAACTGTTTACTTATTGGGATCATTCAGTTCCCAAGATTTATCCCCAGTTGCATTGACAAGGTGGGTATAAAATGATCCATATCACTTATTCTGGGCTCTCTTTCAAGGTGAGGAGTCTTCTATGAGTCACATCTAATCAGATTTTCACATTTCTATGTCCTTAGTGGCGTGGTTGAATTGCTCGCTAGAGGACCTTGTGCAGGCTGGTAAGTGGACCTCCCTAATACTCTTTATCTCACATTATTTACATGACCTAGCAGTATCTTCATTGTGGGTTTTCGAATATCCCCTGTAGTTATCTTAACCATTCCACTAGATTATACAGAGGGGTGAGTATTTTCATTGCTACGCTTGTCTCTACTTTACCTTTCAGGGTCTCTTATCTCATTTTCACATGATCCCACTTTGTGACAAGTGTTGCCCAGGCAGGTGTGCTTTTATCAAACCAATTCCACACTAGCAACCACTAATTCAATATACTTTATCTTGTTTGTAACATGCTCTGTAGAAATAAGGTGTTTCATAAGACCAACTAGAGGTTGACTGGGTGGTATTAGTGTACTATACTGGATCACCACTCATGGACTATCATGAGAAAAGCATAAAGGGATCCTGCCTGTCCCTGTTGATCATTGGATTGAATAAATTGGGGTCGGTTTGCTTTTAAACATTTATGGAACTTGGTTCATCTATTACACTGTTTACAGAGCACTGTTCCTCAGGACCCCGCAATGTGCTTTATCCCTGGATTATACTAGTTTCCAGTCACTGGGGTGGTGGACTGAGTTATTTTCTCCAGAGTGTTAGAGTGAATTCCTCCACTCTTGGAGAAGATGACAAATTTGGGGCTCTCCTACTTGGGTCCGTGGATGTTTTCTCCAGATTTAGGATGTAGTGCAGTTCACCCACTACGGTGCCAATCTTCTATTGACACACCCATGATGTATGCAGATGCTTTCTGTATGGATAATGCCCTCACTGGCCCCCTTCAACTTATCAATGTGGGGTTTTAGCTGTAATGTGAGATGAGGTAAGTATGTTTTGGAAGCTAACATTTTCTTAAATCAAAAGTGTGTTTCCAATAATACTTAACTCTCCTCATGCTCTCCCACCCTTCCTCTCCACTAAGCACCAGTGTTAGAGACTGGGGATTGAGTTAGTCTAGAAAAAGTGATAACATTATCTGAATGACATACTTATATGCAGTACCAGGATAGATGCGCATTGACGTAGGTGTCACGAGACAAGTATTGCCAAGGGCAATTAAATGGGATATAAAAGACTGGAGCAAGCAAGAAAAAATCAAAGCAATGCGTTGATAGGCAAAGGAAGAAACCCTGGGAGTGAGTAATAGCTGTAGTGTGAAAAGAGGTAAATATTATTGGAAATACATTTTTGATTTTAGAAAATGTTAACTTTCATGTTCCATCCATTCCTCTACTGTATCAGTTTATCAAAGCCGTTGGCCAACTTTTCATCATTGGTCTATCAGACATGGTTTCCATCCTTCACATCCTACTGTGCCTCATCTTTCCCAGTTTTTCTCTTGACTTTCTGATTAGAATCTTTCATTTTTAATGGTTTTAGGCTATTGGGCTTCTTTGTCCAACACATTTTATTTTACACAGTTCTGCCTGATTTTTTTATCATCGGTCCTGTTCCTCCTCTTCCAGTCATTCTGACTCCTTGAACCTTATCATATTTTTCCTCTTCCTGATTGGGATCTTAGTGTTGTCCTTTATGTCTGATCATATCCTCCACTTATACCCTTGTCATCTTGCTCCCTCTATCTTCTTTCTCTTAAAATCTATTTTCTTCTCCTGTTGGCATTGGGTCAACATATGTTTGACCTTTTTGCCACTGTTGTTTTCCATACACTTTATCACAGTATCTATGTTGTCCTCTATCCAGACTGTTCCTTATTTTTTAAAACTTCTTCTACCAAGGAAAGAGAATCTGCCTTCTCTTCTATCTCTATCCCTTCCATTTCCCATCTTTATTCCTGATCAGATCCTGATTACCTTCTTTGTTCTGTACAAGCAATGTGTTGCTATATTGCTCATACTTTTCCTTTTTGTAGTTTGCATTCATGTTTGTTTATTTCCTGGAATCCAGCTGTTTATTTTAATTTTTCTCGAATCACTCTCACAGCTTGGGTTCTTCAGCTTATTGGGTTGGTTTACTCTTCCCTTTCCTGCAATGGGAATCATCTTTATCATGTCTACTCTCATTAAATTCACCACATCACTATGTCCTTGACCACTCGTTTTCTTTGCCATCTAGAGGAGATTGTGCAGACTAGCATGTGAATTACTCCTCATACTTTTGTATTACATTACTTACACCATTTGACTGTATCCTTTGCTGGTGGATATTATCTCCCTTCTGTGGCAATTCTACATGCTCCAGTTCAGTTATGACATCTATGAGTGTATGTTTTTACATTATTCTTTTTAACTTTTTGCAAGAGCCTCTTTTTCTGTTGGTTTCTTATTCAGATCCTGCTCTGTGGCAAGTGTTGCCTGGTCAGGTATGCTATGACATTTCTATATACAAAAGAAACCTGCACCTACTATATATAGGGTGTAACACACACTGTTGAGATGGGGTGTTCCAGATGATTACTATTGGCTTATGTAGTGATGTATATTACAATATATCTTATCTAATACTTTACATGGTGGACCATCATTCATGGACTATTATGAGTAAAGCAGAAGGAGATTTCTACCCTTCCCTGCTGATCCCTTGATTGAATAAATTGGGAACTGCCTGCTTTTCAAAATAGGGTTTCGTGGTCACCCATTGCCCATTCTCTGGTGTGTTGTTCCTCTGCACTCTCCTCCACATTTTACCCTCCCTTCTTTAAATGGAGTATGAGAGTTCTTACCATTTTTCAGTTCCTATCCACTGGAGTGGTGGACCATGGAAGTTTTCCTCAAGATTGTGATATACATATACTACAATTTCTCTCTCCACCCTCTTGAGAAGAGGGTGAAGCTAGGAACTCTCTCTCTTTCCAGGATTATGGTTCCAGGAGGTCAGTCGTTGGAGGGAGCTGACTAGCCAATGCTGAATTCTCCTTGTAATACCAAGTTCAGGTTTATAGTGTCCCATTCCTATGGTTGAGACCAGTAGACACCTCCAACTTGGTATTCCCTGCTTCATTTGGTTGGGTTTAGGAGACTCCATCCACCTTGTAATGCCAGTTGTGGGACGTACTATACCCTGTTCCTATGGTTGTGCAGGTGTTCCACATTCTACTTGTAATTCCATTACATGGTTGAGTAATTCTTGTTCTGTGCCTACTTGTATTTCTGGCTACAGGAGGCATCCCTGTTCTTACGGTTGATTTGAGTATCAAACACTGCCTCATAATTCCGAGTTTGATTAGGCATATTTCTTGACTCCCACAGCTGATGTTAAAGTTTGTCCAGTTATCACAGCTTACTTCCATCATTGTAGATTTGGTTGCTTGTAATATGGCATTCTGATTACTTACGGTTGGGGTTCATGTATATTTCTCCTCTATTGATTCTTTGACACTGTCCTCCACTTCATAATACTGAGGATGGGATGTGTAATCTCATCTGTATGGTTGGGTTTAGAGTAAACCTGTCTACCAGATCTTCCAAGGCTTTTCTGTTATTGGTTAGGTGCTCGATGCTGCCTGTTTTACCACATTTAACTTCTTCACTAGTGAAGGGTATACCTGTTCCAGAAGTTTTTGTAGTTCCCTTCTAGTGTACTTTCATACTATTCCTACTCACGCTTGTTAGCTTCTCTGGGAATGCTTTCCCTAGAGAGTCTATTATTCTTTCTGTTACACCAGTATGTATCATATCAAAAGTTATCATTTTCTTACACTGAAAATAGATATTTGATAGATACTTACCTCCTCTTAGGTACTTCTCACCCTTCCTCCCCATTTCTGGTGTTTATCTATTTTATGGTGTGCCTAATCTTGAAAGTGAGGTACACAGAATGTAATACAGAGGTAGCCAGTTGCTCAGGGAGTGTGTGTCTTGCTTCTATTGATAGAGAGTTGTCTTATGCTCTATGCATGCTAAATGAGCAGTGGGAATTGAGGGGTATAAAAAGGCTGGTGCATTAGGGGAGAATTAAGATTTTTAATGCATTAGAGGGCAGTCCAAGATTGAGAGAAGCTTTATATGTGAGAGGAGGTAAGTAGGTATAGAAAATCTATTTTCAATATAGGAAAATGATAACTTTTTTTGTGTAACTCATATGTTATTAAAGACCTTGCAAGCAACAAAGCCACCAACGCACAAATTGTTTAGAAAAATGTGTTTAAAAAAGCAGATGGAGACCATATAGGCCCCCATATGATAATTCTTGAGTTATAATTATTTGAATTATTTCCATTTATCCTATCTGAGTCTAGCAACTGCTGTATTGTATTCAATTTCTTATTATTCCTTCAAGCATATTACAGGAAAAACATGCGTCAAATAAGAAAAAAACTTACATGATGACAAACAGAGGACAGTAATGTCATTCTACATCAGTTCTTCTGAGCTCAACAAAACCTGCATTTGAATACTTAGTTATTATATTAAGTGTAAAATTGTCTTAGTGCCTAACAGTGTTCCAACAATTATGATCAATAGTTCTTTAATTGTGTGAAATGAAAAATTAAGTTTAACTCTATAATTTCATGATATTATAAAATTTTTACATATTTGTAATGTGGTATGTTTTAAAAATATTGAGTTGCCTCCTTCCTACGTGATACTTTTATGGAAATGTTTCTTCTGTGGCCATAATGTGACTCGAACCTCTGTTTTATTTGACAGTTAAGCTTCTAGTGGAAACATTGAATCTTAATAATGCATCACCAGCCTTTCTGACTTCTGTCAGTGTAGTGATGTTTAGTAGCGAGACCCTTCACTGGAAAGCATTAGTAGAAGGCTGGGCTCGAGGGATGCCCATTCAGTGTAATTTATCTCTTGCTAAGTAAGTTATATATGCATTTTTCTTGACTTTGTTAATCCTTTTGCAAAGGGTAGGTCAAAGTGCACGTGTCACAACCTTTTACAGAGTTACATTCAAAATTTAATTAAACTACTCTATTATCAATTCACATGAATAAACCTGGCATCAAAACATAGTTTATAAATAAATTTTAATATTATATAAGCTTTAAGTTCTTAATTTTTTTAGGAAATGTTTAAAACAATTCTCAATCTCCTCTAGCATAAGAATTGTGACATATGCTCTCTAGGTCTTCCCTCTTATCTAATTTATTTAATCCCCCCCCCCAAGAAGTATGAAATTTAATGTAAGTTATTTATTATAATATAGATATTACTCAGGCAAAGATAATTTTTATGGCCTTCAATCTTATTTGCCTATGGAGCCATAAACTAGAAAATCAAGACCCACTTGCCATGCCCACCTGTCACATCATCACATTCAGAAATTGCCATTAA